TGTTCTGACACGTTGTCGATAATAACCCTTCCCTAAATTCTCGGGGAAAAATTGGACATTTCCTCGCGATCAATCCTCCTCTCCGCAGTTCCATTTTAATATCCACGTTTTTCTACATTTCTCATTTTCCCGGATTTATTTCCCGGGAGTTTCTTCGAGGAAAATTGAATTTTTTGGCAGTTCGGCCATTATTGAACGCGTCTACGTTTCCCTGGTATTATGTCGGGTTTTAAATCGCGTTCACGTGCTTATGGCTATGTATGGTCTTGGAGGGTTGAAATGTAACACGGGGCAATTGTGACAAACGTTATACTTTTTTTTTAACCTTGGAAAGACATGACAAAAATGCCGAAACAGTCTAAGCTGACTCGTAATGACTAGATAAATCTTTTGGCAAGAGACATTGAGGACTGTTGTAACGAGTCAAACTGACTCCATTGTCTATATCGCCCTCGAAAGATTCGGTGGAATATATTTCTCGCGGAATATTTGAATACGGGAACATGCCCCGTGCACATGAAAAATGCATAAACGGAAGGGGAAGTAAAATACATCAGTTTTACATTTACCGTTTAGCCTGTAAACTAGTCAAAACTGTGCTGCATTTTATATTTATTTCCATACGAATCCCAAATAAATAGATTCTGTCGTACTTTTAAATCTGTCTTTAAATATAGTTCCTGTTTTTAGATATTTATTGAATTTTTCAAATGAACCAGAATCATTACATTTGCCCCAACATTTATCTGTAATTTTATTTATACATTTATCTGTAATTTTTACGGATTTCAGTAAAAAAAAATTCCGTCGAAACGTTAACGAAAATAATTTGCTGTCCTTATTTCAAGAGATAAAATCTGCCGTAAGTTTAAGATTACTTTTCTCCATGAATGGTCCTCGGTTTGGGTACCTTTAGTCACTTGACGTGGGTCCAACGTTACCCCTTTTCGTGGGATATTCTTTCCACGAGTGTTCCAGCGTTTCCCATAAGAGGATGGCCGCGTTGCAAGGGTAATCTATTCCATCACCTGTTCTATTTCCGATCCGGTCCGCGTCCGCGCATTTCGGATTCCATCAGTTTCCCAAGTGCCACACCGTGGACCGTGATTAATGGCGGGAGGCGTTGACGCCGGAGGATTGATTGGCGAATCTTGAAATCCTCCATGCGTGCCCGAAATCTATCGGTAATCAGCGCGGAATATCGATCGATTGACTCTTGATATCGCGACCTCTTCGCCGAGGCCTACTTTCCGCATCGAGAGAGGCGCAAAAATTGGACTCCTCGAACAAAGGTTCGAGGCAAAGGTTATCGGGTTGTTAAAATTTATGCGGACTTTGAAGTCCGAGCGAGATACCGAAATGATAGTCCAATGCTAATTCCTTTGTCCTGCTATGCGTCACACGTGTAAAGGGATTTGAAGCTGCGACCGAAGTTGCACCTCGCGGTAGACCGGAAGTGCTTCGCGTGGCACAGACCCGGAAACTTCATGCCTATTCAGAAGGCAGGACTTTATAGTGAAATACTGCAGTCTGGCGCGAAATATCGCAACTACTGCAACGCACATTGGTACCCTCCGTCGTTCCCCTCTCATCCGTACATACATTACCCACCTCCGTAATTCCAGCCCCAGGAATTAAACACCGCGCGTCCTGAGTGCACCTGAGAAAGATAACCAAAAAATATGCATACGCATAAAAGTAAATGGGAACAACGTCTTATTGTTTTTGACCAAATCCCTATCAGGAATGGAAACGCTATCAGGAGAACAGCCCTTCAAACCCAAATTGAATTTAAAAGTTCTTCCAGGATTTATCGGCCATTCCTCGTGCACCCCTTTGCCATTCGTCACCTTCTTGCACCTCGCAAGATGCAATTTCCGCACTTTTACACCCCACGCAGCAAGAAAATGTCAAGCCATTCTTCCCTTATGGGGTAAGACGGAAAGGGGTTGGTTTGCAATTCATGCATGCGACGTGAAGTAAGTTCGAGGCTTGCAATTGGTTTAAGGGGACGTGAAAGTAGCATCTGAGGGGTCCGTCATTCATGAAACGTACTTCCGAGTTGAGTGTACCGAATTATTTGAAACTTCACCAGGTGAATATAAAGGCCCTAAGGAAGGTCCTGACATCCATGGAATTTCATTTTTTATAACAATTTTCGAAAATGTCTATAAACAGATATTTAACACACTGCAATTACGTGGGTGCCAGGACTTCCCTTATTCTATATTCATACCGTAAAGTTTGAAACGATTTGGTACACCGAATTTGGAGAAGAGCTTCATGAATGAGATCTCTTTGACGCCACTTTCACATCCCCTTAAAGACTCTCCTAGGCATGGATGGCACCAGCTGTAAAACGAGAATCTTAAACGGGGCCAGAAGGAAGATACCGATGACAACGAGCGGCTTTCGCGATAAGTCACCGAGTGCTCTTCGTGAACAATGTTCTCACCTTGCGCACTTCACCCCTCTCGAGAAAAGGGCGACAGGCTTCCTACTTACTTACCCTTCGGGATCGAAGTTAAGGTGACACGAAAGATGCCAAAAGATATAATCGTCGCCGGTGGAGGGGAATTCTTCTAACCGTTGTACCATCTGAAACAACGTGCCACGTTACCGACGTTTATATTAAGTCGAGGAATAAGTTTCCGCCGTTTTAATTATGTTACGTTACGTTAAAACGACGGGAACTTACTCCTCATTTGCCCATTACCGGAAAAACTCGATTTCTTTTTAATTTCTACGTTCTTTTTTTCTAGCTTTCTCCTTGTTAGACGACACGTGCTCACGGAATATTTCATTTATAAGGATCTGCCTGAAAGGTACTTACGTAACAGCACGTGTGAGTTTGCCGTGTGAAGCGTTTTTCATTTTTTGCAATAAAAAAGAGTCCAAAGTACATTTAATAAAACGCTTCGCTTCATTGTCGCTAATAAGTTATTAATACATCAAAGTTACATCGTTTCATTTCTTTACATTATTACCAGCGAGAAAAACCGGTGCCGGCGTTTTTCCCTGATGCAACGTAAATAAATGGGAGCTTGCACACGTAATCCGGCAATCTCCGGTCCGGTTCGGTTGCCGGTCCGGTCGTTCAGAGCGCCGGCGTTGAACTTGGCAAGCCGGATGCCGGAACAGCGATCGGCTTACCGATTCTCATATAATCTTATGTTAAATGATCATCATAACCGATGCTAACTCCGATTTTACCGGTGCGGGTGAAGATGGTCATTCTCGGTGTCGGTGTCGGTGCCGGTGCCGGTGCGCGTATAAACGACCATAGGGGTCCATATATTCTACGTCCATGGACGCGCACCAGACCGTTTCCCCTGGGCGACGTCATGGATCCATAAAGAGATGGATGATGGGAATCTCCACAGGGGAAGCTCAAGATGTAAGGGGAAGGAAGGGTGGCGGCCATCTTACCCTACTGTCCACGAGTTTTAATTTAAAAACAAAAAGCAAATGAAAACAAAGTGAAATACGTACACGGTAACCGTTACCGTCATGATATTTCTATATTCTTAAAATCATGTTACAACACAATTTCATGCTTCACGTACCCCTAACTTACACATAAAGCTTTGGATTGTAATGAAATCGTAGGATCATAAAACTGGGATTCATTAAATCTGTCTACTTAATTTCGATAGACCTCAATTGTCTTTTGCATAGTGTACACCGATGACATGGTATGAGTATTGAACGCGTACCAAGTAATGAAAGCCAAAGCTTATTTTACCCCGATCACTTGGTATGCGTACTAAACGTGTAGTTCTAACAAACTATTAATGTAAACAATGGGGTACCAAGACGGTGTAACGTGCACCTTTCGAGCATTCCGTCCCAAGACGAGATGCTCGTACCCGGTCGTTTACTCCATTTGAATAAATCCACGCCTTCAGTGCGCGTAGTAAGTGACGGGCATAAACTAAGCCCGGGGTCGTGTTTACCGTCGCGTGCGTACTCGGGTGTAAACACTGGTCTGCCCAATTCGCGACAGAGGTCGCGGCCGAGCCGGCCCGAGGACCCTGACCCGAGCGGCGGGCACAGTCAGTCGTCGCTGACGAGTCGCCGGTGAAGGTCGCGTTCACGATGAGGACCGGAGGGAAGCCACTCGACTTGGTCGTTTCCCGCTCTCGGGTGCTCTCGCGCCAGCCACCCTTCGCACCGGTAAGGCCCGGGGAGGAGGGGCATTGAAGCGAGTCCCTGCGCGCAAAAAATACTTGGTCTGATCAATAAAATCCCTGTTGGTTCCTCCAGGAATAAATTCCTCAACCTATGGGGTTGTTATAACAACGGAAATAAGATATTTCCTCTGTAAAGGACGGCGTTGCTAATTGAATTTCACTTCTTTCATACACTGAAAAAAAGACAATTCATCGAACCAAAGAAATGTTTCTTTGAATAGTACCGAGGAAATATATTTTTAATTTAAAGTATCATTATTTGGCTCAAATGAGTTGCCACAATTCCAACGAAAAGCCGCATCTAATTTGAATTTATTCGAGCGAACGAAATTATTCCTTGAATTAACGATCAAGTATCCAATAACGTATCTGCGATGAAATTCGATGACCCATTTTCTATGTGTTTACTCATGCCGAATTATAGAAACATATTTTTGTCAGGATCGTGGATTATTTTTCCGGGAAGTTTTGGAATTATTTAACATTTTCGAGGTATTCCCCACATCCGGGGTAATCGCGCGTATTAATTTATATGCATTTCAATGTGCAGGGTAAGTCGCGCGGAAAAATGAAATCCTGGGTACTTGTTGTCGGTTAATGTTCCTAAAGCTTAGCGCTTTGTTAGGGGATAAAGAAAATGTCGGGAAATTCCAAAGCGAGGTGCATCCCAGAGTCGGGGCGATCGAAATCATTTGACCATCTCGATAGCTGCATAATAGGGCCAGTTCTTGAGTATCGCGGCTACACCTTGCCTTATGGGGCACCTTGTCGTAACCTAACCTCGGGTTCGCACTTTTTGCGTTACAGTTACCAAGCTGAGGGAGCACTGGGACGAGACGAACTCGAAAGTGATGCAAAGGAAGACGGAGCTCGACGCCATGTTAGGCGACAGCCAGAGATACGAAGCCAAGAGGAACGAAGTGGAGTTGTGGTTGGCAAGAATGGAGACTCGGCTTGAAAGAATGAGATCCGTTGGCCACACTGCCGATGTTCTCGAGGCGCAACTTCGAGAGCAAAAGGTAACCGCCGGTTATCCCAAATTATACATTTTTTCCCTATTTAAGATGTTCATACGGTGGACGTATAACGCGTTTAATACGATACGCGTTATAGGAAATTCTGCCGTATAGAAATTTTTCTTGTATAACGCACACGATGTATTTTATTTTCTTTTATTTCATTAGTTTTACCATTAACGCGTATCGTATTAAACGCGTTATAGGAAATTCTGCTGTGTGGGAATTTTTCTCGTATAACGCACACGATGTATTTTGTTATTTTGCGTTGTACGAGGAATCGCATTATATGAAAAGAGTAGTCGCAATATCTCTGGCGCGTTATTAGAATTCCCGTTGAAAGAACTGCAGAATTTAGTGCAAATATTATTAATAGGACAAACGAAAAATACGGAAAAATCATCGAGTCTTCCCCATAGATACTTACGCCACTTACTTCAAAAATTCAGAATTGCGTCGTCTTGAAAAAAAAAAAAAAAAATTCTCTAACATTCGCGCATCTCGTGGCATTCGATTCCCCGATGTGCCCCCCATAACTGCAAACTAGGGAAGACGTAGTTCTACGTGAAAAATTCCAAGCCACAAAGCGGAAGCATCTCCGAGAAATTCGCGAAAAGGCCGGGCACTCGCGAGGAGATGAATCCCACGTAAATTGTACGTCCCTTTTCCGGGCAAGCGGTATTATTAAATTTTCACAATTTCTTTAATTGCTCGATTTCTCCGGAGCCCTCTTATACCCCTTCGCTTGCTTTCGACGGTTCCCCGTAATAAGGCTCTTGTTTATCGCCGATGAAAAGGCGTGCTTAGTACGGGGCTCGGGAAAAACTCGGAGGCACGCCGGCGGAAATAAAAGGAAGCCGAACGAGCGGAGAATGGCAGATCGTCGACGGCGAAAAAGTCCGACTATTATTTCGCCCCCTCGTCCGCGGATATGAAAAACACGAGGATGCGCCGCGATGTCTTGCATGCACCGGGCGTAAAATTCCCGCTTTCGGGGTACCTTAATATTTGAACACTCGCTAGGGACCCCATTGTCGTTTCTGCGAAATGTTTTTTTTTCCTCCCCCGACACTCTTGACGCGCATTCCGCAAAGTGCGTGGAACATGTCCAGAACATTTTCCGGACGGATTTCTTAATCATTGGGTCGTTTCATAAGTTAGCGGATGTAGTAGAAGTTTTAACATTTATCTTTGTTATATATATAATAATACGTTTTATCATAAATCTTTTTCAGTCATTCCACGCCGAATTGCATCAATACAAGTATCATATCGAGCTGTTCAATCAACTCACTCAGAAGCTGATCGCGGTTTATCTTCAGGACGACACAACTCGCGTGAAGAAGATGACCGAGACCAGTAATCAGAGATACAACAACCTAAACACCAGGTGAGGGTTTCGTTTTGGCACCGTTTTTGCGATAACGTTCACCTCGTAATCCCACGATAAACTACGGGGAATACGTGCGCCGGTAATGATACTAATTATCTCCGTTTAGTATTAAATTCGCAAGGGGTGAGAATTGTCCCCCAAGGGCGGGCATTTCCACTCAGCAGCGCCGAAAATGGGGCCTCTATCACGGTCATTAAACCTGCGTTTCATGACCTACGTGCAGTATTAAAGCTGTCAGCTCGGGAAATAGAAAATTGTCCAAAAATCGTATCAGTCACGGAGATCGTTCGAATGAAATTAAAAGTAAAACGAAGGCTTCGTTTGATCAATTTCTTTCTAAGGGAAACATGCCTCGTAACAAACTTTGCGTTCGGTATTGTTTTCGGGTCGTCATTTCCACTTGTTTGAAATGTTTCATCGTCTGACTCGCAATGCCGATGATTCCCACGAAATCAATTTCGCCGTAGTCGGGAAATTTCTTCGGCAAGAAATATTTCGATTAATATTGGGCAGAAAATGAATACTTCGTTCGGTGTAAGAATTTTTTTTATTTCTAATTTCCCTCGAACATTTGAATGGGCGTCGAACGAGGGATAAATGGAATTCGCACGGATCGATCGATGACTCGAACGCGGTAATCGAAGCCGATACTTCCGATCACCTTTCCGTTAACCCGGGAGTCCTCCTCGGTGTGTGTCTTGCGTTCCAAGTTTCGAGTTACCTGGGACAATCTGACCGTGTCTTACGACGCATTCGCAGTATCATCAATCGGGGGAAACTGTTACACTCGGCGATGAACTCCCTCCACAACTTCGACCGGTCCCTGGACAAGTTCTTGGCGTGGCTGAGCGAGGCCGAGTCCTCGATGGAGGGATTGGAGGCGGAAGCCGATCGGCTGGGTGGACGACGGGACCAGGGTGCACTCAGACGTCCTCAACATCAGCTTAAGGTGAGTCCCATTCGATTTCATATCTACCCTGTATACGGATCGGATGATTCGCGAATCCGTCAAGGTGATCGCCATCGGTAGGAATTTTTTAATGCGATAAAAAAGTGGAGGGGCTATTCACTTGAAGATCAGTATAAACGACTTCCTTATTTGAGAGACGATTTGCCTTTGATTTCATATGATAGACAACAATGCGATTCGGTAACAGGGGACGTTCGGCCTTAAAATTGTGACAGATTTCGGTGATTTCCCCCTGATTTCCTCATGAGTTCAATTGTTAACATTCATGATTTCTCGAGGGAATACCTCCTCGGCTTTGACTTATTTTCCCTAAAGTCGATCTCTGGGGATAAGTAACGACTCGATAAGATGTCATACGTTATTTAGGAATTGAAATTTTAGGGGGGAGAAAATAATTTTCAAATGGTCGCGTAAATCGTGCACTTGTTGCGCCAGTTGGGTCTTGCAGTTCTGAGGGATAGCTTCTCTCTTGGGACGTCTCTTCTGGAATCGATCTCCATAGGTAATTGATAACTCGATAGGACGACATGCCTGACATTAGTGGAAATTGAAAATTGAGGGCGAAAATGTATTGGCGAATTGCTCTCGTTACGGTGGTTGGTTTCACCAGGTAAGGGGTATAGGATCGGTATGGCGTCCCCAGCTCATTTCTTCCCGAAGTGTGTCCAGGTGTTTCGTCGAAAAGCCTCGGGGGCAGGACGTTAGAAAATCGCGTGTCGGACCGAATTATACGTCGCGGATCATTCGAGATATGCCATACACGAGCATTATGGTTAGAGACTCCGGCGTAATGCTCGGATTTACTAGTCGCCCGTTTAACAGCCGAATCGTCCGGATTTAGTGCCGGCTCTAACGTGGCCGGTTGATGTTTATCATCGGGTAATAGATCGGATTCTAATCGTCCGCGTGTAAATTTGCATTGAATAATTGGGCCTAGGACGCATTGCCGGGCGCGGAACATATCGGCCCTCCTAGTCGATCTCTGGTGTACACGCGTGCGGTCGTTTATCCAATTTCCGGATACCATGGATGGAGCACCCGAAGGATACGTCCCGGAATTAAGGACCGATCGAATGGGTATGCAGTGTCGTAGATAATCCGATATCCCGTTATTCATAACGCTTCCAATTGATATTCAGCATCCCCGTTCTCATCTGCATGGGACGATCACCGCTCAGATTTTACCCCGTCCAATAATCGCGCGTTAATCGGCCCTTGAAATCCTATCCATTGTTGCGCGTTTTCATGCGAAAAAATGGCGTTTACCCTCTTAGTACGGTTGGGTAATTTCGCATTTTTTTTTTTCGAGGTTGACGGATATTACGTAAACCATGCAGTTTACCGCAGAAAATCGTAGAAAACTGAAAACGGCTTAGTTTCAACGTTGCCAACTTCAGTTCTGTTTACTCTAGTATTTGGTTAATGCATAAGTAATGGTGCTTTTTTTATACGTAACGTGACGTGTAAAAAAAACGCCATTACTAATGCATCAACCCTATACGATCGGATTAAATTAATAGTGCAATCCGATATAATCAAGAAAATGTTAGTAGAAATTAACTGAATCGAACTTCACTGTGCGATGCGACAGGACTTACATTGACACGACGGATATGAGTTCGTTCTAAAATTTCGAAAAAAAATTAATTTCATCCTCCTTGGTCCTGGGACAACCTCATAATTTCCCCCTGCCCTCTCGGTATCGCGGGGGATGAATTTCCCTCGAGTTCGCAGCTGAGAAAATGCAAAATGGAGTCTTCTAGTCGTTTCAGTCGATAAACGAGCGTCGAGGCAAGTTAAATTGCCAGTTAGCCGGGGCCGAAAGAACCTCTCGGTGTGCGTGGAAATTTCGCAACGAGACGTCCCTGGAAATTGTTGAGGTGCTCGTAAGTACACAAGGGGTACCGAGAGGGGGAGGGGGTTGCTTTGAACGGAGCAAACACTCGATTAAATGGGACCGTAAATTCGGGCTAATCATACCGATACGGGCGCAAAATCGTTCGGATTTACAAAGTTCCGGTTGCGGTCTCCGCACGCGAAATCAAATACGCATTAAATTCTGCATACACGGCCTCATTGATATGCGCAGTTTCGCGCACTCGATGAAATTAATCCAGTACGGTCCAGTCCTCGACCTCTCGTTACATTCTGGGAAATTGCAAAGTACCGGGCTGTGACATTGTTGGAGGCCCTTTACGAGTAAATTACGGTAATGCGGGAATTCAGACAATTTCATTTCCACCTGATAAGCCACTCGAGGAAGTTCATTAAAAGCCCCTGGCTATTTCAATTCTTTCACTCTTATGGTGAATTAACATTTTTTATGGTACTTTTATGTTATCACCGGTATGAAAATTGGGGCATCGCTGTCGAGCGAAATTCCGCATGTATGCTGCCATTGCATTGCATCGTATCGAGGTATTGAATAATTCGTACACGTCGTCGGGTGATGAAGTACTCGAGAGAGTTTATCGAGTCTCTGACAATTTAAATAAATTTTCTTTTCCTAGTCAATGAAAATTTGGTACGATACTTTGACGCTTAAAAATTCGTGTATCGTCTTCATGCAAAAATCGTGTATCGCTTTCTCATTGCGGTGCTTTGTACAGTATTGTACACTTTGTCCACGTCCTGGAAGGGCTCTCGAGTCGCTCGACGAATTTTCTTCTTTCTCGGCGTATCCCAGCAGGGCTAATAATTACTCGCTAGTCATCGCGATAGTTAATGGTCGCTTTAATCACGGCATTCTCGGCATTGTCAGCGGCAGTTGAGCGTGGAAAATCGCCGGACGCTTTGGCTGACGAGGGGATAACCGCAGGATATCAATCATTCCATAAATCGCGCTCATATTAGCTCGCCATCGAGGGACACGCCACCCGATCTCCTTTCGGATTTTCAAAAAACCGCTGGAAAATTTCCTCCATCTGACCGTTTAATTTCTGCCCTCCGGTTCTCGAGCAATTATCCCAAATGTATAAAAGGAAATATTTCTAATATTCTCATAATTTTCCCACGTCGAAATTCTCTATCTCAGTTGAGTCTGTAGTCAAATAAGAAACATCGACCGTCAAATCGTTAGCCCTAAAGTCCTGGAGGAAATAATGCGAAATGAAATTACACGATTCGTCCATATATCGGTAAAATCCTTCGGGATGCACCGCCGCCCGTTCCGGGATGCAGCGTCGAGGGTGCATCGCGGTGCACCTCTAAATTTCCATATTATCGATTTTCCTTCCCCTTAATTATCTATTTTCTTTCCCTTTCACGTCCTCGAGGGCCGGCGAGGATTCCGTCGGAGCATCCTGGACCCTCGAGAGGACGCGAGTGCCTTTCGGAGATGTTGGAGGAAAAATGGAGGGGGTGGTTCGCGCAAAGGAAATACCGGCAGCCCTTGCTATTTATTCCCTTAATTATTTCGCCCTCGCTTGGTGGTACTTCCCGGGGAATGGATCGCTTCTCTCCGGGCGGGAAGTTTTTTCATTTCTTGGCCGGGGCTTGCCGACATTTCCTAGACGACGAGAGGACGCCTTGGCGTCGAGTGCAAATCGAGCGACGCCACTCGTCGGCACGCTCGATTCTCGTTACGATGAAACGAGCCGGAACGATCGCGGTGCATCGGTAATAACGACCACGCGACAATGGGAATAATGCCGTGATCAATGGCCAACGTAATCGCGGCCGTAAATCGCGACGCATTATTTTTCTTCGCCTCCACTTTCCTCGCTCCGACTTTCGGGGAAGACCCGCCGAGGGGGGTGAGATATCTCACCCCTTTCTTTTCTCCCCTGGCTTGGCACCTGGGAGAGAGATAAAAGCGATAGGAATTATTGTTAACAATTGCGAGACAAGGAGGAAAACGAGACGTTTGCCTTCTTGAGTGGACATGGAAGGGACATTCTATATGCATTAAACGTTAAAATATTTATACAATTTTTCATGATATGCATCATATGAAACTTCAGCACGTGATTATGGAGGCCCTAAGGAAGAACGCGATGTACATGAAATTTCACAGGTGTCAGGACCTTTCTCATACCCTCCATGTTCGCATTATCAACTTTGAAACGATTCGGTACACCCAGTTAGGAGAAAAAGTATCATAAACGAGATCCCTTTGACGCCACTTTCGCATCCCCTTAACTTGCAAAGTGACATGTACTACCGTGACATAGAAAGTTTCAGGAAAAAAGATCGAACATGTATCAGATATGATTTTATCGTTCGTGGGAACACGTTTTATACTTTATGTTTGCGAGTTTATTAGAGATTGTGCGCGAAAGCTTTCAGGTAACGGGTGAAAGTACTTTTTTCCTTTTTTCTTCCTGATTTGTCGGTTGCTTTGCCCGTTCTTCCTGTTTTCCCTGTCCGGGCTCTCCTTCGACAATAGCCGTAGGATCGAGTTAATGACTTATCGATCCGCCGTAAGCGAGGGCGGCGGCGTTATTCATGCAAATGGCGGTAGTTTCCACCTTTCGGAATTGCATCCTGCGAAATTCTTAACGCCGGCCTCGCCCACCGGGCGATTCATCATCCCGATGTAATTATCTCTGGCCATTGCCGACCGCTTTTCCGTAATTTCTGATAAACGCGCGACGATTAATGAACGTCGTCGACGTTAAACCTTGCGGCCGTCGTATCGCTCAGACAAGTCACGTCGACCTACATCTCGTAACTTTGGTGTATCATTTTTTTTCCCCGGTGATGACACCGCCGATAGTATCTTCCTGGATCACATCTTGCGAAAGGTTCTAGCGAACGCATTTAAAAGCGGCGACGTGCTGAAAAATAATTTACGGTTACGATAAAAAAAAAAAATGTGTCTTCCTTGGACAAGGGTGAACATCTGAAAGTGACCCTACAAAATTTTTTTTGTTTAAACGTTCTGCGGGGTGGCCAATAAAAATACTATGGCTCTTACTCGTATCTCATTTCTAGCGGCAAAAGACGTTCTTGTTATACATTTATTACGCTTATGTACT